CCCCCGCCCGGGGTGCCCGCCGCCCCGCGGGGTGAGCGCGGCCCTTCCCTTCCGCCGGCACCGGGCAGCGCCGCCCGCGCTGGAACGGGCGAGGTGGGAGCGGGGAAGAAGGGCAGGTCACCTGCTGTCCGCGCTCTGACGTGGATCGCAGCAGCTGGAGCAACTTTTGGAGAGGGACAGAAGGGATGCCCCGGCCTGCGAGAGGGGTTTTCTTGAACGTCCCAGCCGACACCAGAACATGCCATCTTTTAGGTGTCCCGGCCCCAAGCACAACCCGTTGTTCTCCAAAGAGCATGAAGATGCCTTCCCCGAAAGGCTTACAGGCACTCCGGGCTCCCTTGAGATGCAGCAATACAAGCATAGCTTTTGAGTTTTAAAGACTGGTGAACTGCTGGAGAAGATGAACCATTAAACCCTGCCTTCCGTTCTAGCATCTCACACTGAGGCATGTCAAGCAATTCTTTATACCCGCTTAAACAGTCAGGGACCTTTATGTTTAGGATCAGATCGAGGAGTGCTTAGATTTAGGGCATCCTGGAAGCACCATCAATTTGAACTTTTATCTCGGTTTTCCTTGTTTTATATCCATCGTAAAGCATGGAATTTAACTCACTTTCAGACAGAAAATACTTTACTTTTAAGGTTTGGTATTTAGTATGCAAAATTGTCCAGAGGACAAAAGCAGAATCTATCAATTAAGCAAAATCATGGTGCTTAGATATTTTTAAATGATAGAGATTTAAATTACTATGATAAATTAGAAAGTTGACTGCTCAAAAGAAACAATCAGTTCCTTTGTCTTTGGACAGGATTTTAAATACTGAACATTAGTCATCAGTCATGTGAGGATTTAAACAAGCACTTAGCTTTATGCAATTTGAGTGATTAGTTCTATTCAAGTGAATAGTACTGTGCAGAGCGTGTAAGATTTAGCACATCTCAAACCCCCAATTGTACAAAGCTTGAACATGTGACCCAAAAAGTGATTGTATTTTTTTTAAGGCTGTTTCCTAAGGAACAGTGTTTATGCAGTCACACTTGTTCATCATCAACACTTTCCCCATCACTGGGGAGAGGGGGAATGGTCACCAGCTTGTTGGCCAATTTCAATTAGTTTTCATGTAAGAATGGAAATTGCAGAACCAATTTAGTTTGTACATATTTGGTGAAAATAGGTGGCTCCATATAAGGGAGATCTTTTACTTCCATAATCAAAGCAGCTGCAGGAGCTGGAATATTAAACATTACAAAGCCTTTATTTCGGTAAAAAAGAGAAAACATAATACCTGATTAACCCAGTTAGACAAAAAGATTCAACTAAGACTTAGGATCAACCCAAAGATGGGCCATTAGCAACTGAGTTTTGCCAGGTGTTCAGGGCACTTTTAAGGAAAAAGAGAGCAAACCTACATCTGTTGTGGGCATTATCTGAGGCCTGGTAATGAGGTCCCATATTTTAGTACCAAATACTCCATTAAGTAGGGGGTTTTCAAATGTCTGCTTGTAGAAAGCTTAGATTTTGGGAGCATGCTTGCTTAGGTCCTGCAAAATTTATCCTCCTTTGGGTGTTCATTTTCTGTACAATCTTGCTGGAACTGACAACATTCATCCTAGAAGAACCTGTGTACAAAACCAGTGATACACATACACGTTTACATTCTTCTGTTTTCTGATAGCAAAATAAAAAGCTAAGTAACATATATTAATGGTGTTGCCTGGAAGATAAGGTTACAGGCTTTGTGCTGCTTGTTTCCTTTGCTTTTGGGCATAAAAATGGCAATAGAAAGCATTTAGAAACCACCCACCACAGAAAATAGGCTGGAACATGGGATGAAAGAATCAGATTGTAAATACCACCATATAGAAATGAGATTACAATAAAGACACCAGAATGAGGAAAAAACCCTCATGTAAGATTACTATTATTACTATTACTAAGAAAAGTCCAAGCACTAACAATATGCCTACTTGCTTTTACTGAGCACGGAATGCTCTAGAATGGTAATTTATCTCTGATTTATTTCAAAAAGAGTAACATAGTGAGAATCTCCAAGCACCACCAATAGACTCATGTATTCACTTCCTTTTTACGTGTACAATAATTGCACCTGTAGAATGTAAGGCACTTGTTTGGCAGCCATTTTAAAATATTTTTTTAAGCCTTTTGCATGTGTGTGAAGAGTTACACAGCATGCAAAACAGTGAATAATCAGGCCCAGAGAAATCAAGGTGTATTTGCTGGTAAACCATTCTTACCACCAGAAAGAACATTTTGAGAGAAAGCTGGCAGGTTTGGCCCCATCTTGATAGAGCATTTTTATTATTTCCTAACAGGAGGAAAAATATGTGGCTTTGAGTCTAAGTCCTTGATTTCACAGTGATTCTGTATTGTACTAACAGATGATCTTGTGTGTATCTTTGTACTGACAAGCATCTTAGAACTACTAAATCTTTTACAGGGGCATTTAGTGAGACTTTAAGGGATTGAGATCGTATCACTGACTGACCTCATCCACTGGAGCTGCTCTGGCCTCATTGCAAGCCGTGGTGGAAGATGCTGCTGTGACCTATTGTCTTTCCACAAACCAGGCACACTCACTGCTGCTCTGCCAGTTTGCTGGAAACAGCTAGGCTATGGCACTGGGTGTTAGTGCTGTATATAGTGGAATGTCTCCAGCTGCTTCCTCCCTTTGCAACAGGAGCATAAACCTTGTGTAGGTAACAGGGCTCCATGGGGAGGAGGGCAGGAGGGGAATGGCAGGAGGTGGACAAAGGTTGGTAAGCTGGGGCAAGCTGAGCAGCATTGGATGTTAAGTTTGAAACCAGCGTGGAGCATATGGAAAACTAAAGTACAAAGCCTAGGTGTCAGGCCACTGCCCGCCAGTACTGTCAGGCTAATGTAGTGCAAACAGTGAATTTTAAATGTATACTTACTTGTTACTTGAATGCTAACAGAAATTCTATTTGGTGTCTCTATGCACAAGTCAAATTATAGAATTTTGTTATTTATGTGTTTGTGGGGAGTCGGCGTGATTTGTTTGATTTGGGTTTTTTTCTGTGTTTTCATGTAGTTTGGAATTTAAAATAGCATGTGACTGGGCTTTCATGTGAAATCATGATGTTGGTTCTCCACTTGAACCCTGTCGTCTTCCAAATCAAATTCATATGTAGGTTCAAAAGGTAAACATTCCAAGAGGACGGCATTTTAGCTTCCACTTAACAGAAGTATGTAGCTACTGAGAGTGTAAGGCAACAAAGAGTAAAGGTCAGTATGTTAACAAGGCCAGGTGTAATGTGACTCTAAATTTCCTCCTGGAGAACAAATGCTCTCCATGGAAAAATAGAGAATTAGTGAGATTATCTTTCTCATATAATATCTGAAACATTACTAGAAAGGTGAGAGCCATGGCAAAATATGGTCAGTTACTTCTATGGTTGTTGTCACAGAAAATTTTTAAAAAATCATAATTGTAAAAGTAAGGGGCATTTAGAGGAAATACAAAGAAACATTTCCTCTACATAGTCTGTAATCACATTAAAAAAATAATAATAATTTATGTCTTCTACCAAAATGTCTCAATTTGCAATTGAATTACACACTGTAGGTTTTTTTTTAGCAGAGTGAATAATCTTAACCAAAGAAAAGATGTGTTGATATTTCATGCATGATAAACAAAGCACATTCCCTACAGTTTTACTTCAGACAGCAAAATCATCTCTATATGCTGCAGGAGGTTTCTGTCTTGTACAGATTTATACATTTTGAAAAT